TGTGTGTGTGTGTGTGTGTGTGTGTGTGTGTGTGTGTGTGTGTGTGTGTGTGTGTTCGTTCTTTTAAACCAATTTAGAACCTGGTAAAGACCAGATAAGTTTTATCGTGTCCTGAAAACCCTAGAGATGGATGGGGGTCGACTTGCTATTTGCCATGACTGTTTTCGATCAAGAGAAGCGTGTTTCCTGATACACACAGGGGCGGAGCCAGGGCAGACAAATCTTTGGCCACCCTGCTGCACACACCCCTTCCACAGTGAAACAACATTTAGGGTGTAATAATCCTCCTGCACAGTTGGTGGCAGTGTTTAACAGTTTGAAACATCACCAAACTCAAAGACGTGATTGTTTTCTTTATATACCGAACATTTGCCTTTGTAATCTGACTTATGGTGACAAATGTTTTTTTTCCCCACCATATCACAGTGTCATTTTATGTTATGAAGGCTACATGATGCTCTGCCCCTTTTGGTTAGGAGTAGACAAAAGAAAAAGTGAAATGCCCCTTTAAATTCACTGTTGGTGCTTATCAATATTGTTCCTGTTCATTGGTTAAAGTTATTAATATTAGTTTTAAACATGTAGTTGAAGGTCATCATTATTTGACACAATGACATGCATTAAAATTAAAAATAAATCAATAAATAATATAAAAGTAAAAAACACCCCTAAAGTCATTAGATATGATAAATTGTGTCACATTAATTAACCTTATCTCAGCTGTAGCAGTGAGTTTAAAAGCAGGATAATGAAACTAGTTAAATGAAGAATCTGTCTCTGAAATAATTATTAAATCAAGTGTTTATTTAGGTAGGTAAATGTATGTTAAACAACCTGGTAAAATACACCAGAATGGTGGAAAGGGCATCTATTTCGTTCAAAATTTTCTAGGGGAGGTCCCCCAGACCCCCCCCCCCCCAACAGTGTGTTCCCACACTTTTAAAATGGTTCTGACACCCATGTTTATAAGGTAGTCACTGCCTGTATAAGGACATGAGAAAATGACAAAAACACAAAGATCTGCAGAAACTTTCAGGTAAAAAAATTATGTAATTTTCCTGGCCACCCCTGTGTGAGTAGTGGTCCCAGTCTGGCCACCTGTGTGAGTAGTGGTCCCAGTCTGGCCACCTGTGTGAGTAGTGGTCCCAGTCTGGCCCCCCCTGAGAAAAATGTCTGGCTCCGCCACTGGATACACACCTGTGTTTTAACATGTCACACTGTACGTACATCTGTCTTCAACATGTCCACATGGCACGAGCGAGTGTTAAATGTACCGATGAAGCTCGTGTGAGTATGAATGGACCAGCGGCAGGCAGTAGGGGGTTGCCATGAGAAATTACCCCCATGGACTGCAGCGTAGAGGCTGTAATTCTCCGAGGTAATCACAGGGAATAATGGCAACAGTGGGACACCCGAGATTCTAATCACTATAATCAGAAGCATTGGCTTATGGGCTCAAACGCCTGCCTCGCTATCTGCCGCGCGATGAAGCCGGTTCGGCTCGGCTCGTTCGGCTGCTGCAGCATGATCAAATGATTGACCAGTTTTCTCTTTCCGTTTCCTCCCTCTCCTGTCCTTTCTAGTCCTCCATTGTGGTCGGAGAATCCCCTCTACAGAAAGAACGGAGGACTTCTCCTACAAGGTACTGTTTCACCTGCGCAAGTCTTTTTCTTTCTTTCTTTCTTTCTTTCTTTCTTTCTTTCTTTCTTTCTTTCTTTCTTTCTTTCTTTCTTTCTTTCTTTCTTTCTNGAGCGCACAGAAAACCTCGGAACCGGGCTCCTCCTCGTTTGTTGTGCTGGTTTTGGTTTACTTTTTCTGTTTGTTTGTTTTTTCACCGAAAAAATAAAAAAAATAAATTTTATATTCCTGTAATGACCGAGTGTTTCGTAATTCTAGAGGAGAAAAAAAACGAGGCTTGTTAAGGCAGGAAAGGAGCCGCGCGTAAAAGGAAAGAAAAAAAAAGTTGCTTTGGAGCAGTGGATCCAGCGGCCCTGCTAGCTTTAGACTTTTATTTTTTTATTATCAGTATTATTATTCCCTCATCTCTCCGCGGGGGTCAACGCGACTGGGAGCCGGTGTGAATCTGGAGGAATGACAGAAAAGTAGAGCCATGGAGGCGGACAGCGCGTCGGACGTGGAGAACAAAGGGACGGCCGGTGAGAACGCGGCGGTCGGAGCGTCGCCTCCTGGATTTTCACCCACTTCAGACWCAGAGGTGCACGTTCTCCCCTTCCCTGGTTTCCTCTCCTGTCTGTGGTCCACCTCCCTTCATTCCCTATTTTTTCTTTGCGCTTTGGCCCTGGGACTCTTTTAAAAATCCCCCCCCCCCTTCCTCCCTCCCTCCCCTCCTCCATCCTCCCTTCGACCTCCTCCCTGGTGGGTGGACGGCAGTTTAAATGGACATTCAATCCCAATCAGRGAGCACTCCAGGAGCTCGCCGGGACCGCCAAGCCCTAAATAGAGGGGGAAATGGATACATTAGGCGTCTGCGGCGAGAGCCTCCATCACTGCTAATAATGGCGTCGTAATGGTCAAGGAGCCGAGGTTGCAGGGAGAACGCCTGGAAACCTGGACTCCCCGCAGACACGCACAATCTGAGCGATGCGTCTGGACGGACGCACAGATGGGCCGACTCGGATTTTTCTYCTTAATGTGTTTTTGAAAGAACGGTCAGGTGTGACGTTTAGAGGCAGAAGGGAGAAAGAAAGTTGTGACAGACAGCCAGAGGCAAAGACAAGGCATGGGTCGGAGGTGGTGATTGTGTGTGTGGAGGAGGAGCTGTTAGGACCCTCAGTTATTACTTCCATCTCCCACTCCCAGAGCTTTCACAGCTGCTCTGCTCTTAGCTGATGGGGGCTGAAATCTGCCTCTTCCTGTCACCAAGCAGCAGCTCTCAGAAGAAACACGAGAATAATGGCCGAGAGACGAGTCCTCGCCTCAACCCGTCAGCCCACCTCCACAGGCACCAGCGTTCATCACTCAGTGGGTCAGAACCTCAGAGGCTCTGGTTGGCCCAAGTGGTCATCTTTTTAACATCTAAAGAGAAAACTTTTGCCTTTGAAGTAGTTTGTGGAAACCCGTCGGACACAAAAGAGTATAAACAAGAGACGAAAACAAACTGCCAGGTGTTCAGTGTTGAACAGCTAATATTTATATTCTAGTTAGAAACTTGGCTTAAAGTTAAAATCAACCTGGTTCAAGATGGCCTCTAAATAGTTAGCTTATCAAGGAAACATGAGTTTTACAGATATTGAGCTCAAATTTGGTGTGATGGTAGCTGAGTCATTTACAGCAGGTACTGTAATTGTTTCACATTTTTAAACTTATTAGCTTAAAACTTGGGGACTACCTGTTGGTGTCGACCTTTTTTGTCACTTTGCAGAATGTCTCATGAAACCATGAGCCGGTTTTATTAGTAATCAGTGGTCGTACCTCTACAGCTGATTAACTTCAATATGGCCGCCACAGCTAATTGACCCTAGCAAACCCCAAAACTGCTATAACTCAGCTTTACATATATTCACCTACAATTATTTTATGGTAGTAGCTCAGACTGATCCCCAAAGCAGTTTTTTGTTAAAATCTTTGCTTTTAAAGGGGACCAAGTATGCAAAATTCACTTTTTTCAGTTTTTTTTTTACTTACATTTGGGTCTGTACTGCTTCTAAAAACGGTACAAGCACCAAAAAAAATGCAGTCAGAGGTATTTTTACTATAAGTAATTTATTTTTTTTCTGTGTCTTGAAATGACCTGTTTTCAAACACCGCTACTTGTGATGTCGCACTCCAGCCCACCCCAACCTGAGCCCAGCTCGGCTCCTGTAACCCAAGCAGAGACTCCGCCCACTTCTTCACGGGACGGTTCTGCTGTTTTTAGAACGGTCACGGAGAACAGAGATGTGTGGATTAATTGTATTTTTATTTAATTTTGTTTTTATTTTTGATGGCAATGTTCTAGCAATATTAAAGAAAGTTTTTGTAAATAATTTCACCATGAACTACTTTGGAAAAATAGTACTTTCTACTGAAAAGAAACTGAAAGTAAACTTCTGGCGGGGGGCGGAGCTAATGTAAACAAAAGTTGGGAGGGGTTTTCCATAGCAACTTATGCAAAGCAGCAGGATCTGTGGTGAAATTTCATTATCTGAGATTAATTTTGTCAATTAAATCAAATGAACATATTTTGTAGAGCCCACAGATGGATCCTAACTTGTTCTAGGACCCCCATATTAAGTCTCCTTTAACTATTTGAGTCAAATCTGTCTGTTGGCAAAATATCTCATGAACAACTGGCCAGATTTTAATTAAACTCTTGAAACATTGACTGATCCACATTTACATATTAACTTTTGACGTCTGTTCAGCTTAAGATGGCCTCCATAACTAAATACCGGTAATCTTAGCCAACACAATAATATCAGTTTTACAGATTTTAAGGTAAAGATTGATGTGGAAGTAGCAGAGCATCTTTCACAACACATACTCTGAGCACTAATAGATGTCACAATATCACATTAAATTATTTCAAGGTTTGACCAAAATTTCTCATCAGAAGATACTGTAGATCTTAATTTACAACTCTAAAGGTGGGGTCTTTAATTTTTCATTATTTTGGGGGGAAATGATCGAAYAAAACAAGGTTAGAGGAACAAATCTGTCAATCCTGAAAAGTTTTTAGCTGCAGGGAAGGAAAATCAGCTTGTTTAAAAGCTTTATTAAGTCCCAGTAATCACGTGTTGCTCTTTATTTTGTCTTCCCCGCTGCAAGTTACAGCACGTCAGTCAGCCGAGCACCTCCACGCTCAGGCTGAGTGTCAGATAGACGAGCCGGTTAGCCGTCCAGTTAAACTGCCAGCAACTTCATCCCACCAGCAATTCAGCCTGTCAGCCAGGCAGTCAGTCAGACAGCATTAGTATGCATCCTGCCCTCAGAGTCTGCTCTCAGTTTAACACACGGCAGTTGAGAAGGCAAAAAAAGAGAGGAGAAAAAAAACACAGCGAGAGGCCACTTTCAAATGGTTGGATTCTGCGAGATCTGCTGGGAGTGACCTATGAACCCTGCGAGTGTCGGTGAGCTGAGGGAGCCACGCTGCTCCTCTGCCGGCCACGAGGAACTTATTTAAGAGAGCAGAGGAGGCCGAGGCSGGGAGGTGGGGCAGGAGGGCTTCTCTCGTCCTGAAAACAGGCGGGGCAACGGTCAACGTGGCAGGAAGGCAGAGCATCTGACCTCTAAAAGAACAAAAAGACAAACTTTTTTTTTCTCCAGGAAAACAGCACAGATGCAGACAGATACCAGCTCTTTTCTCTTCATTCATATTTTCATTTTTGCCCCCGTGTGTGTGTGTGTGTGTGTGTGTGTGTGTGTGTGTGTGTGTGTGTGTGTGTGTGTG